TAACCGAGCAGTTCGGCAACCTCAAGTGCCCGAGAAGAAAACAGCGCGCCCGCGTCTAGGGCCACAGCAGCTTCGACGCACACAATTGGCCTTGGGAGCTGGCCGAACGACTGCGCAAGCTGTCGTGAATTTACGTCGCCGCCTGTGGCACACGCATAAGACGAACTACGTTCGCGAATGCGAAGTCGCCGAGGCAGCCTTTCCAGAAGTGGCGTCTGGAGCCACAGAGGGTCAGATCAGGAGGGAGATGGCCGCCGAGCGCCCATACGGGCGGAATCGCTCCTGCACCCCAGGGGCCCCAACGCGCGCCGACGCCTGCACAGCGCCCCCATCCATTGGGGGCGCCCAGGCTGCCACGAGGAAAATGAACGCGATCGCCATGCACACAAACACGTTCAGCAAGCGCAGGTTCGCGGGCCCTCACAGCGAGCCGCGCCCGCGCGCCAGCCGACGCCCACGAGCGCCAGCGCGACCTGAAAGACCACGTCACTCCAGCGACCAGTTACCTGGGCGAGCCGACTTGGGGAGCAGCTGACGAAGCCGCTTTACCACCACCACAACCCTCAGGTACGCCGGGAGCCAGCTCGCCCTCCAGTGCTGGGGGCTCAGAGCAGCGGTTCCGGCGACCGTGCTGCTGGACCGCAGAGGTTTGGCCCGGGCGACTGCGTCACCAGACCGGGGCAATGAGCCAGTCGAGTTGCAGGGAGCGTGCCGAGACGAACGGCACAACGAGCCACCGACGCATCGGTGGGCTATCCTGTTGGGCTCTCTTCGACGTCACCACGTCACTACGTGCGCTACGCGGGAATTTGCAGAGACGCGCATGCGAGAGCTGCGCAAATTGCGCATCTGGTGGCGGCACGCCATAAGGGGGACATGGCACGAGCACTTCGCGCAGCCAACATTCCCCGGGACATTTTCGACCTCACACCTACAGCGGTCAACATTTGCAAGGAAGGCCGCAAGCGGCACCCGCCAGCACACTAAATAATCTCTACAGTCCGACTCTCAACACGATTCAACCAGCAGCCGAGTGCTGCACCTGTTACTACAAGGACCGCGTGATCATGCATCTGATCCGCTGCACCCCACGTCGGCACAAAGTCTAGGAGATCAACTCCAAACACGACTCGACGCTGCTTGCAGCCATCGTTCAATCATGGGCCCAAATCTTCGGTGCGATCCGCGAGACGATCCGCGGCCCAGTCCCAGCCGAGCAGATCAGGAGGTTGACGGGGGAGGGAGGCTACGCCATACCCGCAGCCCTGGTCGTGGACGGTGTGTCCGTCTTCGCGGCCATCGCCGTGGATCTTGTGCGTCCACCTTCCAGAGCACAGCATGGCATGCCACCTGCGTTGGCCCTCCGACTAGCTCCGCACCAAGCAGATCATCGCATGCTCTGTCGCGATACCCGCAACATGAGGGCCGGCCCCACGACGAAAGAGAGCATCAGCCAGGAACTGATCTTGGACGCGACGCGCGGGAAGCTCAGGCACTACCACGCCACGGTCAGACTGGACGACGAGAGGCGCAAGAAGACCGTGCCCAGTTCTTGCCGAATGACCTCGGGACGGACGAGGAGAACGTTTTACCAACGGGATGAACAGCCGGACGTTCCATTGCATCTATTTCGGCTGCAGGACTGTACATCGGCAGTCGCACGTCGCGAATGCGACATAGGGAGAGACAAGGACAGCCGTATAGCGTGAACTATGTTCGCGAATGTGACGTAGAAGGACATGAGAAAACGCCCGCATAAGGCGAACTGCTCGCAAATGCGACTTAGCAGGTCAAGCAATGGGGGGCTGCGTCTACGAACTGTGTTCGTGGGGCAACAGTTTTTTGGGCGTGCCGCACTCTAACCACCGTACTGTGCTCCTCCAATCGTCTGCTTCCCCCACTTCCTCATGTAATTTATATGAGGGATCTGGTCAATAGAAGGCCCCTGTAGTGGCTGGCCTCCTTTCGGTTGAGGATGAGTTAGCTTGTTTTAGCACGTATCATGTGCTCTGTCAGGAGTACTTCCATCCCTGCCACGGGCGCCATAAAAGGGTTGCCGCGGTTGGCGACGCGGCGGCCAACGTGCCATGGAATGGAGCGAAGTCTGACATCCCAGAGAGATGCCGAAACTGGACGGACACAATTGGGTTCATGAGGCCTCGTTGATTGAGACAGGGTTTGCGTGCTGTTACCGACGGGGCACAGGCAGATTCGCGTGAGCACCAGACTCGAACGGTAGGTCTCCGTACTGCTTGCCTGTCTTGCTTGTTTGAGCGTTATTTTTTTTCCGTTGCCATGTTGGTTCGGACACAGGTCGGCCGACCTCCGTGCCCGTATTAGACGCGCATTTACCCCGTATCCGGCACAAAGCATCTTCGCTTAACGCACACCCGTTTCCATGGTATCCGCCGCCTCTTCCTCCTCCCTTCTTCCTCGTCCCCCCTCCTCCACCAGCTGTGTTCCACCTCCCCACCATGATCCTTCTCATCCCCCTCCTACTATCCGTATTCCGTAGTACTCTAAGTCTCAGTTTGCCACCTACCGGGCCGATAGCTGGCCAAAACGGAGGGGGGCATCCGACCTGGTCAACAGCAAAGCAATGTCTACATTGTTGCTGTCTACGTGGACGTTATGTCGTCCACGTTGCACAACATGCGCCGCGCACATGTTTCCAGAAGAATCGAGTCCCCGCTGGGGCGCGGCGCACATTTTTCACAAGCCGTTCCGTCGACACGCGACCGAACGCGGACGTGTCACTCATCGCCTCGGCGCAGCGCAGATGCCGCTTGAAAGTGGCGTTCCCGCCCGTGCGCGGCGCCTGTTTTTCCTTCGCCAGGCCCCGCGCGAACGGGCTCGACGTGTCGCGCTTTCGCCCGAGGTCTGAGCGCCTGTCGCTCGGAGGTGACGTTCCCGCGCGGGCGCGGCGCAGGGCTCCCTCGCCGAAGCGCGTGGGAGCGGCAGCGGCCGCGCGGCCGCGCGAAGAGCGGGCCAAGTGCGGACCTCGCCCGCGCACCGAGCAGCTCGCGCGCGAAAGCGGCGGAGCTGTGTCGGCGCGGCGCGTGTTTCGTTGTCGCCGCGGTCGTTGGAAGAGCTGTCGTTCCCGTTTCCTGCCCAGCCCGCGTAGTTTTCCGTTTCCAGGTCGTCGCCAGCTGGACCGCGCGCGAGCGCCTTCGGGTCGCCAGGTGGGAACGCGCTCCAATCACCAATCACAAGAGCCGGTTGTGCCACACGTGACTCTTATGTTATGTGGGCAAGGTGGGAACAGATGGGGCCTTCAGACTAGTTTGGCCTGGCTAGGGTACGTCTAGTAAGACAACAGGATAGGATTCGAGGGCGAAATAGTGCGACCCGCATCATTACGTCCATGGCAGTACTTTGGGCTGGACTCGAGGATTGGAACAACACGCACTGGCTAAAGGCGCTGAAAAGGGGAGCTCCTTTTACCGACTACGTGCGTTACGACCTGCACTTTGGGCAAGCGGAGGATGCTCGACGACGGGGACTGCTCTCGAGGTTGCCTCCCGCTGGGCAAGTCTAGTACCCCTGCGCGACGCACCATCGGGGTTGCGTTCGGTATTGGACTTGGAGTTGTATGCAAGGCCAGCGGCCACCATGACCCAGGCCCCCGTCTCACCGACCAAATTGGACATACATCAAGTCGCAGCGCGCGTGGCCAAAGGAGCCAAGAGGTACCGGCAAGACAGGCGGCAGCGCGCCAAGCTCCAGGCGGAAAGTTCAGGGTGTCCCGCGGGCACCACAGTTCAAGATCCGTTGCTGAAGAAGTCTCGGAAGCAGTGCACTACCGAGGTCCACCCCTCACAGGATGGGCGGCGTGCCGAAACCTGTGCCGTAGTCCTCCTCCCCCCCTTTCCTCGCTGACCGTCCTACTCCTGTTCCTCCCGTCCCTCCCCCTCCTGGTCCTCCTCGTCCCTCCTCCCTCCTCCCTGCCCCCCCTCGTCCCTCCTCCGCGTCCCTCCTCCTCCCTCCTCCTCCCTCCTCGCCCCTCCTCCTCCCTCCTCCCTCCTCCTCGTCCCCCCTCCTCCCTCCCCCTCCTGGCCCTCCCGCCCTGCTCTCCCCCCCCTCCTCCCTGCCCCGCCCCCTGCGCACGTCGGCCCCCCGCTCGCAGCCGCCGGCCCGCGCCCGCAGCGGCGGCCGCACGCCGAACCTCCCCGCGCTCCTTCGGGGGCGTCGGCCTCGCGGCCACTGGCGCGCCACAGCTGCCTGCGCCAGGAGGAGGAGGAGGAGGAGGAGGAGGAGGAGGAGGAGGAGAAGGAGGAGAGGGAGGAGGAGGAGGAGGAGGAGGAGGAGGAGAGGGAGGAGGAGGAGGAGGAGGAGGAGGAGGAGGAGGAGAGAGGAGGAGGAGGAGGAGGCGGAGGAGGAGGAGGGGGAGGAGGAGGAGGAGGAGGAGGAGGAAAACGACATCTGTGACGTTCACCCCCTGGGGCCGCCCAGCCGCGCGTGGGCGCCCAGGCAGGTCGGACGTCTTCGCTGGCGTTCCGAGGCTCTCCTCGGAGGCTTCCGGGACCCCGGAGCCGGCAGGTCGGGCCCAGCCTTCGGGGGGGGGGGCGGGGGGGGCTTCGGAGCCTCTCCCCCCACGCAGGGGGAGGCGCTCGGAGAGGTTTCCATCGGCTGCGCCCCGTCGAGGGCGCTCCGGGGATGCCGGGATCGTCCCGAGCGGCCGCCTGAGACCCGAGCTGTGGTCCGAAAGCCGACAGGGGGCCCCACGTGGTGTCCCACGTCACCTGCCAGCGCAGGCCGCCGCGAAAGGTCGCCGTGCTCTCGCGCGTCAAGACGTACGGTGGGGGCGTTCGGTAAGGCCTGTCCCCCACCGTTCGTTAAGGGATGCCCCCAGGAGTCTTCACACCCCTGAGGATTCCTTATCTGAGGAGGGCGGCGATGATAGCCATGGCCAAGCCCCAATGGGCGTTCCCCTGGCTTCCAGATCATCTGAGGACTCCTTATCCACTGCCCTCGCCGTACTCGTCGCACGCCTGCCGCAGGTCACCGAGACAAGGTTCCAGGAGCTCTCTGCCCACCTCGAGAGAACGGGCTCCAGCACCGTCGGCGCGCTCGCGGCGCGACCCGCCAGGGGAGGCCAGAAGGGCGGCTCCGACGGCGGCTCGCGCTCCGCGGCGCCCGGAGACGAGCTCTTCGAGACGGGCACGCTCTGCAGGCTCTGTCGGCGACGTCGGTCTGCACGTCTCTTGGGGCGGCCTTTCTGGCGGTTCCCGTCGCCACGGCTGGGCGCAGCTCGCAGCACTGGCCGGCGCGGATCCTTCGGAGAGGTCGAGGGGGCCGTCTCGAGCCCGCTTCGATTTTTGGGGGGGCGGCGGGGGCTCCGAGAATGCAGGGGGCTCTATGAAGGCGTCTTCGAAGGCGGGGGGGGGGCTGAGAGACCCTTATCTGTGTTTGTTTTCTCTGCTTCTCTCTCTCTCTCTCTCTCTCTTTCTCCCCCTTGTTTTCTCTCTCTCTCTCTCTCTCTCTGTGTTTCTCCTCCCTCTCCCTGTACAAGTACGTGTACGTATGTGTATAGATACACAAACAGACATGCATGCATGCATGCATACATATATACATACATACATATCGACAGACAGGCAGACAGACATACATACATACATACACTCGTACGTACGTGCGTACACACATACGTACGCACGTACATACGTACGTACGTACATACATACGTACATACGTACATACATACATGCATGTATGCATACATACATACATGTATGCATGTATGCATACATACATACATGCATTAAAGTTGCATACACATGTGCATGTGCATATCTACAGATGTATGTTTTCGGGCCTACAGTTCATCCCGCCACCTTGCATAGGTTGTGGGTCAGAGGCCTGCTCAATACGTAGGAGAGTTTCTTGGGATGCCTCTCGGAAGTTTCTTGGAGGTATCTTTGGTGGTTTGCGGGTCTACTCCTGAGGTGTCTCGTGGTGGTCATGTGTGGACTGTCTTGTGATCGTGGAGTGTTTCGTGGTGTGTTTCCCTGGGTCTTTCGTGCTTTGGTCATCATGGGGCCGTCTTGGGCAACCTGGAGTGCTCATGGGCCCTCTCCCACGGGGCACCCCCGTGGAGAGGCAATATCATGGGGTCCACAGGGCGCCCGGAGGAGCAATTAGCAGATCACCTCTCGGGTGAAGGAAGCATGAGCAGCGAATGCGGATGCCTTGAGTCAAATTAGCAGAGCGGCGCTCTGCTAATGAAACGAGAAGCAGTGAAGGCGCACATGCGCTGCGGCTAGTTAGCAGAGCATCGCTCTGCTAATCAGAGCCCGGGCAGGATCGGGAATCCTGCTTTGAGACCAATGAGCAAAGCAGCGCTCTGCGAATGACAGGAAGAGGAGCAGCGAGTGCGCATGATTTGAGGCAAATTCGCAGAGCGCCGCTCTGCTATTTGGAGCCCGAACAGTCTGATAATTGCATGGCCGGCGCCCCTGCATAGAATCCAGGATTCAGGACAGAGAACACAGGAGAACCTGGAGAAAATTCCACTTCGTGCCTCGAGGCGCGGTGGCGCATTATATACAAGATGTTCAGGCTCGCTGCGCTTCGGCTTCTAATCTTGATCCTTGCACCTACGTGTTTTATTGACTCTGCGGCTCGCACATTGATGTGGCCGCGGTGTTGCTACGACCCATTCCCGAACCTGACGTTGGGGGGCTAACCTGGCGCAGCCCCGATTGGCAACAGACCCGACGCGCTCCGTCCAAACCGAACGCTAGGTTCGGCACTCGCCCACCGCGAAGGGGCGGCAGCTGCGCTCGCCAGTTGTCTCGCGCTGGAGGTGGCGCTCGCAAAAGACTGATGCAGCCGAGGCTCAAACGAGAGTACCAGTCTCACACACTGATGCGGCCGGCGCTCGGGCGGTAGCACAAATCTTGGAAATGGATGTGGCTGGCGCTTTGGCGGAGCGCGATTCTGCCATGCGAGCTGTAGAAGCCGTGCGAGTGGAGCGGCATCACAATAGCCAGTGATGGGCGTGGCTGGCGCTGCGAAATGTGTGCCGCGTTCCATGAAAGATGTGACTAGCACGCAAACGGCAGCACGATTCCCAGACAGGGGTGTGGCCAGTGCTCGGGCGAGAGCGCCAATTCCATCCATGCATGGGTGCGCGACCGGCAGCATCATCTGCAATGAGGGCTGTGGCCGACTCTGAGGCGACAGTACCGCTCGTATTGGAGAGTGTGGTCAGTGGTGGGGTGGCTGCGCAAATCTTGGATCAGGATGCGGCCACGGATGGGCGAGAGCACCAATGCCGAAGTATTGTAAACAGCGCGAGCGGGAGGAGGTGAAGGAGGAGGCGGAGGAGAAAGAGGAGGAAGGGGAGGAGGTGAATGAGGAGGAGGAGAAGAAGGAGGAGGAGGAGAAGAAGGAAGAGGAGAGCAGGAGGAGGAGGAGGAGGAGGAGGAAAAGGAGGAGGAGAAGGAGGAGGAGGTAGAGGAGGGGAGAAGGAGAAGGGAGCTGTGGGAAAGCTGAGAAAAAGTGCAAGAGGTGATCCTACGGCCCCGTAGGAAGGCAGGGTTCACATAGCGTCCCCCCAGGAGCTCTACTTGCGGGTCCAGTGACAAAGTTCGCACGGCGTCGTTCCGCCCGTCTCGGCAACCCATCACACGAATCGTGTCCCAGAGGGATGTGGTTCACGTGAGGCCGTAGTCAGAGGATTCGCGTAACCTCACGTCCCCTCGCGTGTGTCGACTGTCTCCTCACACGGATCGCACCCCACAGGGAGTTGCATGGACGGCCCCAGAGCCAAGGTTCGCATCCCGCCGCCTCGCCCATGCCAGCACACTTCTGACCTGGATCGTAAATCCGGGGCGTTTGTCGTGCTTCTCGGGGCCTGGCGGCGTTTGTTTTTGGGGCCTCTTGAAGCCCTGAGATGAATCGTGAGTCGGGGGCCTGTTGGAGCTTTGGGAAGCTTCCTGGGAGTCTTTGGAAGCATTCTGGAAACTCTGGGAGCCTCTTGGGCTTTCTTGGGGGTTCTTGGGGCTCTTTTGGGCCGGCTGTGGGCCCTCTTGGGCTGGGCTGGGGCCGTCTTAGAGCCCTCCGGGGGCCCTCTTCGGCCGGGGGCCTCCTATGGCCCTCTTGGAGCTCCCTTCCTGAAGGAACGCGTCGGCTGGTAATAGTTAGCTGGAGTTATAACTAGTTAGTAACTCGTTATAGCTAGTTACCGTATTGGAGTTTTTTGGAGTGGCATGTTCGTTTTTTGGCTTATACCTTAGGTTTTTTGGGGAACGTGCATTTTGTTGTTTTTGACATTGCATGTTGGTTGCTGTGCATATCGATGCTGTTTGTTTTCAAAGTATGCGCTAACAGCACAATTTACGGTATTCAACGGGCCACATGCACGTGATATGATCGCCAACTCTCTTGTAAACCACTGGAGATTTCAACGAACTGAAGGGGATGAGAACGGGATCGCGGGCAGCATCGATGACATGCCTAGAGAAGTGTTCGCTCGCATGCACATGCTTTGTAATCAGAATCTGAATTAAGCTCTGCGGCGGATCGCCGTCGCATTTAACGTGGAACCACACTTGGACTGCAACGTGGCCACGATCGCGCCCCGTCAAAACTATGTCACCACGTTTGATTGTTCCTCCATGTTCGGTGTGCGCTTCAATGGTCGAGACTGCTGCATGCGTGCATGGCCGCAGCTGCTGCAAAACACTCAACAAACGTTTGCTTGCAGCTGTGGCGCACTCGAACTCGCACTCCAGTGACAACCCGCGGATGTTCTGTATATCATGCATGTGCTGAGCCGTGAGCTGGGTCATTACAGCCTTCTCGGGCCTCGTCTTGCACAGGTGGTCCTTTGCCAAAATGTTTACATGTTTGTGTTTCCGCTCTTGGACTAAACATGAAAAAGCACCATGCCTCTCAAACAGATCAGCCAAGTGGATAGCCATGTGATGTTTATACACCCAATACTTGGCACCATACGCACGCTGGTGAAGCTCCAAATGTCTCAACACTGCTGACTCAACCTCGTCGCGTGTGCATGGCAATCGCCTCGACGCGCAGAGAATAACATCCACGGCGTCACATAACGCCAGCATGCTTGCTATCCGGTTTGCGACTGCATCGCATGATGGTGTATTGGCAATGACTTGCCTGATGTATAGAGCCAGCACGGGAATCGCAGATAGTTCTTGCGAGGCACTCGCCTGGAAGTCTCCCGTTTCCCAGACTGTTGCAGCAGAGTGGTGTTTGGATGGCCATGCCCACTTCATGAAGTAATCGTAGAGGTCGTCGGCGCTGCACAGTTTCTTGAAATCTTTGTGCTCTTGGAGGGCCCTGACTTCCCGATCAAAAATGCAACTGGCGAAATATACGTGCATCCAATCGAAGCAGAGGAATGTCATCACCAAGTATCTAAGAAACGGGTCCAGTGCGACATGCGTTGGATGGAAATTCCAACCTTTCACCTGCGTGACAGAAGTGTATTGCGCGTCTGTGAGCTCGTCTCGCTCGCACATCTCCCAATCAGGGCGCAACCTCTCCAAGATCGCGACGACTGTCGCGTCGGTGTTGTATGCGAGTTTGCTTTTGTCAAGGCAGGTATCATCAACGTATGCCCCCGAACTGTCGAATTGTGTGTAGCCGAATTTCTTGTTAAGGACGTTCCTGCAAATTGCGCAGGGCTTAGAGCCAGCGTGCCCCTTGTTCATATGAAGATCCCCCAATGCCTCCTAGTCTCCTATAACACACGCCAATCTCGCAACTATCGTTGAGTATGTTGTTGCGTCACCCAACGCAGACACATTCAGCGCAACCCCCGTTGTCTCAAAGTTAACGCCACCCGATCTATGTATATATACTATAAAAAAAAGGCTCGCTGAGCACCATGCGGATGGATTGCCCGATGCCCCCAGGCATATCTTTCACCTTGGCAACGCGTGCGGTGCTGAGGATGAACCATAGGTCGTCGCGTTGCAAGTGTCCGTCAAATTCGGCAAAAGACCTGTGCACAGCCAGCATCCATACCACGGTAGTTTTTGCCTTTCGCGAGAGGATCGCGTGGCGATATACCATCGAAATAAAGAAGTAGATTCCAAGGTACAGCTGAAGAACATGGGTGCTGTTGCAATTGTCGGCGCATCAATGATCTGAACGCCCCGCTTTTCCTGCAGATGGCGTACAAGAGCGCCC